TTCCCATCATCCAGGAATCTGTACTGATGGTAACTTGATTTGCAAAGGTTTTTTTTTTCCCCCTACTGAAAGCCCTCTAATCCATTATCTCATTGATACTCATAACGGTACTAGAAATTAGATAGGTATTCATTCATTCTTGTCTTCAAAATGAGGACTCTTGGGCTGGAAAGAGTGAATTAATTTGTCCAAATTACAAAGGCGGTATAACCAATTTTTGCTAATTTCTAGGCTAGTCTGTCTACATTAGGTCTGGTCTCATTATTTCTTCCCATACACACACACAAGAACTGCAGCCAATATACAAATATTTGTGAAAATATACAACAACCAGAATACCAGAAGAAAGTACAGGAAAATAGTTTAATAATATTGAGGTAGCATGACACAAAAATTCAAAAGCCACAGATTTTTTAATTTTTTTTTTAATATTTATTTTTTAGTTTTAGGTGGACACAATATCTTTATTTTATTTTTATGTGGTGCTGAGAATCGAACCCAGTGCCTTACACATTGAAGGCGAGCATGATACCACTTGAGCCACATCCCCAGCCCACCACAGACAGATTTAACAATGTGAAACTTTAAAAATTTTGTGTAAAGAGACACCATTAAAGTGATGAAAGCTTATTCACAGCTTTCTATTTCTCACTCATAATTTTAACCACTCAAATGTTTTCAAAATATTCTTTTTTTTTTTCTTTTAAACGAAGACTGAGGCTGAGAGAGTGAGAGAGAGAGAGAATTTTTAACATTTATTTTTTAGCTCTCGGCGGACACAAGATCTTTGTTGGTATGTGGTGCTGAGGATCGAACCCGGGATGCACGCATGCCAGGCGAGCGCGCTACCGCTTGAGCCACATCCCCAGCCCCTCAAAATATTCTTTGTGCCAGGTGAAGCGAGCACCTAGAAACCCAGAGACTCAGGAGGCTGAGGCAGGAGAATTTCAAATTCAAGGCCAATCTCAGTAATAGACCCTGTCTCAAAAATAAAATAAAAAGGTTTTGGGGCCTGGGTTTGTGCCTCAGTGGCAGAGCACTTGCCTAGCACACATGAGGCACTGGGTTCAAACCTTAGCACCACATAAAAATGAAATAAAAATATTGTGCCCATCTACAACTAAAAAAAAAAAAAAAAAGGTTTGGGGGTATAGCTCAGAGGCACAGTTGTGCCCCTGGGTTCAATCCCCAGTACCAAAACAACAGCAGCCAAAAAAAAAAAAAAAAGAATGTTCTTTGCTCTTTTTGCAATTATTCTTTTTCATGTCAATTTTAAAAAACATTTTAGCTGCAGATGGACATAATACCTTTATTTTATTTATTTGTATTTACGTGGTGCTGTGGATTGAACCCAGTGTCTCACACATGTTAGGCAAGCGCTCTAGCACTAAGCTACAACCCCAGCCCTCCATATCAATTTAAAAATCAGCTTAAGAGCTGGGATATAGTTTAGCAGTAGAGCTAAATAATAATTCCCACTACCCCCACCAAAAAAAAAAAAGTAAAACAATTAGTTTAAATTCCATGCAAAGGGGCTGGGGTTGTGGTCCAGCAATAAAGTACTACTTAATTTAGCACTCACCTGGCACGTGCAAGGCCCTGGGTTTGATCCTCAGTACCACATAAAAATAAATAAATAAAATAAAGATATTGTTTCCAACTACAACTAAAAAATATTTTTAAAAATTCCATGCAAAATCGTGTCTTAACTAGAATTTAGTTTACCTTAATCTACAGCAAGAATTGATGTCCCTATAAAACTATGACTACTACAAAACTACAAGACTACTATGTCTTCCTACTAATGGACATAATAAAATGTCATCTAATTAGGCCTTTATGATTTCATTAAAATAGCCTGTTTTGTTTTGTTTGTTTTTTCTTTTTCAAGACAGGGTTTCTTTTTTTTTTTTTTTTTTAAGAGAATGATTTTTTTTAATATTTATTTTTTTAGTTTTTGGCGGACACAACATCTTTGTTTGTATGTGGTGCTGAGGATCGAACCTGGGCCACACGCATGCCAGGCGAGCGCGCTACGGCTTGAGCACCCTCAAGACAGGGTTTCACTATGTTGCCCATACTGGCATAGAGCTCTCAATCCTCCTGCCTCAGCCTCCCATGTTGCTAGGACTACAGGCATGAGCCATAGCACCCAGGTTGGTTTTCTTAACATATGACTGTGGCAGGAGCCTGAGGCAGTAGGATTACAAGCTGGAGGCCAGCCTCAGCAACTCAGACCTCCAACAATTTAGTAAGACCCTGCCTCAAAAAGTATAAAGGAATGAGGATATAAGTCCCTGGTAAAACACCCCTTGGTTCAATCCCTACTACCAAAAAATAAATAAATCTGACTTCCAGTTCCCTATTAAAATTTTTTCTAGAAATGTAATAGTTTTACTGTAAATGAGACTATTCTATGACATTTCATGGTTATTGTTTTTATATTTTACTTATATAATTTGTTCTCATGCTGGAGATTGAACTTGGGTGCTTTACTACTGAGCTACACTTCCAGTCCTTTTTTTTTTTTTTGTATCAGGGATTGAACTCAGGGGCATTCAACCACGGAACCACACTGGCAGCCATATTTTGTATTTTATTTAGAGACAGTATCTCACTGAGTTGCTTAGCACTTCCCCATTGTGGACACTGGCTTTGAACTCAGGATCCTCCTGCCTCAGCCTCCCAACCTGCTGGGATTCCAGGCCTGCACCACCATGCCCTGCTCATTTCCAGTCCTTTTTATTTTTGATTTTATATAATCTTTATTTGTTAATCTTACATCTGGCTATGTTGCCGAACTCTAATATTAATTTTACTATTTCGTCAACTGTTTCTCTTTATAAATGAATATATTAACATAATGAGACTTTTTTTTAAGATTTTTTTTTAAAGAGAGAGAGAGAGAGGGAGAGACAGAGAGAATTTTTTAATATTTATTTTTTAGTTTTCGGCGGACACAACATCTTTGTTTGTATGTGGTGCTGAGGATCCAACCGGGGCCACACTCTTGAACTACTGCTTGAGCCACATCCCCAGCCCAACATAATGAGACTTTTCGGTGCCCTCATTTTTAATTGATATACAATAGATTATTAGTGTTAATGGTAAACATTCTTGACTTGTTTCTCTTGTTGATAGGAATGTTTCAAATAATTGTCAATAAGAAAAAGATAATTTTTTTAATGGGCAAAGGATATGAATAGGCAATTTACAAAAACAATTAAAATGGTCAAAATGCAATAAGAGTTTTTTTTTTGTTTTGTTTTGTTTGGTACTGGGGATTGAACCCAGGCCAGGGATGTAGCTCAGAGGTGCTAAACCCAGTTGCTATGCAACTGTTGTACCGCTAAGCTACACTCCCCCAACCCTTTTTTTTTTTTTTTTGTAATTAAAGATATATTTCTGGAAATGTTTTGCTCTCTCAATCTTATTCAATTTTGGGATGATACTAAAAGCACAAAGAACTTGCTTTCAATGGCCCAAAATGTTGACAGGTTGGGGAAATAAAATTTGTGTACAAAAGTTGATTGGGAATTTTTGTTTTGTTTCATCATAAGCATTTTTTCTTTAATAGAGCCATCAATTTTCCTAAGCTCACAACCTGATAGCACCTACAGCAGAAATTAGGTCTTAAATGGAATCAACATTTCCTTCAGTAAAGTGCATCTTTAGCAAGACCCCTCCCTAACAGCTAAAGTTTGGAGTAGAATTTGAAGATGGGTTCAATTTTTCCATTTTTCTAATTCAGCCCGGCCTAAGGACCAAAATGCATGTCCAACTGTCCAATTAGTTTTGTTGGAAACTAAGGTAAGTTCTATGTCCTATTCCAGCGAATTCAGAGCTAGACAGCCTGGAATAAAAATAAAAGGTAACTAGGGTGTCCTCTGACTTCTGCGAGGACAGGAGCATGGCAGCCTCGGGCTACTCAAGGAACTCCTTGAGACACTTATTTTCAGATTATGGTTGGGTTTACAAGGCAGGGCTGTGCAAAGAAAGTTAACTCCTCCCAGCTGACCCTAAAATCTGCGGATCTGGGCCCGATAGCAAACTCAGGAAAAGACAAACCTGACCGAGTTAAAGGAAAAGATCGGAAGTGTGAACTATCTGGCTTCTACTTAGGACTCCGAGCCCAGAAGCGACGGAAGGGAAAGAAATGGCACTGTTTCAAAGAGTCCAAGCCAGCTCTCCCAAGAAGCCCTCTCAACCAGCGCCTGGAGATTTTACAGATCCTATTCCTGCCCTCAGTCAAGATGGCGTCCCGGGCTCGCATTCGCCACGGCGCACGCGCCAGCCCTCCGGCCCGCCCTCCTCCCATCCTCCCGCGCGCCTCATCGCCGGCTCGCCAGCTGCAGCACTCCGCGCGTCCCCAGCCTCACCCCTTTTCTGGCTGTCCCCGCCTGTCCAGACTCCCGAGCCCGGAAGTGGATGTTGCCGCTCGGCGGAGAGAACGAGGGGGAGGGGGAAGTGCTTCCGGGGAAACGGGCCCCAGGTTGGTGTTTGTAAACTTGCCTCGGTCCCGGCGGGGACAGCGGCGGCCGCAGGGTTGGCACGGAGTGCTGGGGCCTGGAGGAGGCGCCGCGCGGCTGGGGAGGCAGCGGGAAGTCGTGCCTGGCAGGTAGGCGCACGCCCCAAGGTGCGCAGCGTCGTCCAGGCGGACGGCAGCGCTTCAGCAGCTCGCAGGCCGTGGGACGCCGCGCGGGAAGGGGGAGGGGAGGGGAGGAGGGGCGCGTGGCGAAAGGAGGGGGTCTGGGGGAGGGCCGCGCGCGCACCGCCCCCCGCCGGCGCCTGCCGCCGCGTCCCCGGCCCTGGAGACGGAGGCTCGCTTGTAAGGGACGCGGGCGCGAGCACGCACCTCGCGCTATGCTCCGCGCTCTCGTCTTTTCGGCTCGGTTGGTGCGGCGGACGCTGCGGCTGCCTGTCTGGGTGGCTGGAGGGAGGGAACGCGCTATGCCTAGCTTTGCCTGCCCGCCCTCCACCTCCGCAACGAGTTTACGTACCTTGGGGCAGACTCAGAGAACATACACGTGTGGGCACTGCCAGTGTGGTTTCTGCCCGTCGCCTCAGCGCCCAGCGATGGCCCCCGAGCTTTCCTCCACCCCGGGTCTCTCAGCCTCTGTAGAGTGCCAGCTTTGCGGGCCGGCCCACTTGGCCCAAAAGCCCTGAAAGGCCTCCGCCCCCTTCTTCCATTCCTAAGAGGGCAAATCCAAGCAGTAACCCTGTTGACAGAGTTACTCCCTAAGAGGTCCCTGTTACTTTTGCTTCTGTTGGCTGCCCCTCCTTGCCTACGAGACCAATTTCTTCTACTGACCTAGAAAGAACGCTCTCTTGACTTATGTCCTCTTTCTGAGCTTCAGAGTGCGCCCAGCAAAAAAAAAAAAAAAAAAAAAGTTCATGTCACTCTATGGCCTGAGGATGTTGCACTTAAGGGCCCCATCTCCCTCTTTGGTTTCAGGTTTCTGGAACAAATCAAGAGCTAAATCAAGAGAATTCAACTGGAAAACCAAGACTAGCAGACTCTCTTTTCTTCAGACAACAGGCAGAAGCCAGAGAGACCAGGGATTCTTGGAACACCTGTTTTCCCTTTGGAGGACACAAAGTTCTTTTGGAAGACAAAGGCAGTTCAGTATGGCAGCAGGACTGAGAGGACATGAGGGAGCCATTGTTGTGATTTGGTGACAGTTCTTCAAAAGGCAGTGTCTTAAGGAAAGCTGGATCAAGGAACTCCTGAACTTTGGGTTGCATTAAGTGAAAAGTCAGCATGGCTCAGGTAAAAAGCTCTAAAGTCCTCCTTCAAGATCACTGGGAAGCCTCTTTGCAGTTACACTCTTGAATGCTGCCCTAGTCAACAATATTGACCAACCCAGTGAGCCAAGCTCTGTATTAAACACCAGGGGGAGATCTAGAGGAAGGAAAGGAGACAGGCCACAGCCCCTGCCTTCAGGGAGCTTCCAGTCAAATGAAGGAGGTAGGCTATACTGCATCACAGGCACTAATGAAACTTTTGCAAAGCAACATGTACTCAGTGTGCATTTGGTACATTAAGTGCTGAGGGGCATAAAAGAGTACATAGTCTGGTGAATGCTTCGTTTGTTGTTGTTTTTTTTCCAACAGGAATTTATTGAGCTCCTGTTACATGTAAGGCATTGTGCTGGAAATACAAAGATGAATAAGATTGTTCTTGTCCCCAGTAAGCTTCCAGGCTACTTGGGTTTGGGGGGAAGGGAGGGAAAGACAGTCTATTATTTTTATATTCACAATGCATAGTGGCTGACTAGTAGTAGAGACTGAAACTGTTGATTGAAGGAATGTACAAAAAATAGACATATATACCGCAGAGTGATACTGCTGCCTAGATGGAAGAAGATGAAGCTTGAAGAATGCAAAGGATTTTGCTAGATTAACAAACAGAAGGACAATCAGACAAGGGGTACTATGTAGACAGAAGCTTTGACTAAAAGAGAATGTGAGGAGGTACAAGGTGTGCAGGTAGTTTGGTAGTTACAAAGCAAAGGATTTAAATGGGTATAATTTGGGAGATAGAGTAGATAATGATGGTGGGGGGGTGTTTTCCTGGAGAAGTAAGCAGAGTATGATCCCAGGGCCTTTTATGCCTTCCTGAGGAATTAGATCTTATTTATAGGGAAAGAGGCCTCCCTAAATAGTGTTAAGCAACAGAATAACATGAAATCACTGTGTTTAGAAGGTAATTGTCATTGTGTAAGTGGAGATGGATTGGAGGGACAGGATGACCAGATAGCCTGTTGTAGTCATCTAGGTAGAAAAGCTTTGTGCACACATTCCCAGAGCTGCTTCTAGCTTTCTTCCAGGGAACCTCCCCTACCAGTCTCACCAGGATGGCAGCCTGATTATACTATAATTGGCTTTCTTCCAGCTGCTTCTGCATGCACAGCTTCCTCCTTTCCCTGCAGATTAGAAACCCTTTGGTTTCTTCTTCCTTTGTCTGTTTGGGGCCCATTCTACACATTAAGTTCATTCTTATTTTTAAAAGATTGCCTTTCACTAAACACTAACTCTGTGCTAAGCACTGCCAAGCATTTTACATTTTAGTTTAGTTCTCATCGACCCTATGAGAATAGGCACTATTTATTTAGCTTAAAAAGTGGAATAACTTGCCCAAGATTACAGTACAAACAGCAGTGATAAGATTTTTGACTCTGGACCTTTCACTCCAAAGTGTCCCTGAAGGTGGGAGAAGGGATCCCAAGATACACTGATCATTTATAAAGAAAGGAATTTTTTTATAAATTTGGGAGTTTACTGACCAACTATTTAAGTTTTTTTTATCAGTAAAAGAAACATATATCGAGTGATACCAAACAAAGTCAGTTTGAAGAATACAGCAGTGAAAATGGGTTATTTGCTTAAATATATCTTGTTTAAGTAACTTGTCAACTTTATGTGGAACAGAGAATATGAAAAAATGTAGATATGCATACGTATAAATGGCCTAAGGAGTCAAAAGAAATTGTTTATTCAACTTCAGAATCCTTCCAAGTAGTTTAATTTTTACATCTGCTGTAACTGACAACACTTATTAATATTTAAAGAGAAATAACCTCTGCTGGGTTTCTGATCTCGCGACTAAAGGCTCAGGGGTCACTCCAGTTAAACTGGGCTAACTGGGCTGCATGAAATAACTACACAGAAGACACAATACCTTTTTCTTTGGAGTCACTGTGACACCTCCTCTGACCTTAAGGATCCACAGAAAGAGAGAGAGTGAGAGCACGTGCTGACCCCTTTTATTGAGGATAAGCTATTCAAATGAGGCAAGGGGTCAGATTTCAGGGGGCTGAGTATCTTCATGAAGTCCGCTGTTAGCAGGTTGACTGACACCTGGATAGGCCACACCCAAGGGCACAGTAAGAGAAGGGGACACATACAAGGCACTTCCATGGAAGATTCTATCCTAAACCGGGCAAGGGGTTATATTACAAAGGAACAAATGAGCATAGCTTCACTCCTGGGGCTGTAGCAAGACACACCCATGCACAAGACATCAACCCTCAGACCCAAGAAGGGTGGGGAAAGCTCTGCGACATTTCTGCGACTGAGCGCCTCAGCACCCAGCCGGGGAGTGTAACTCAGTCACATGTAAGGTTGGTCTCTCACAAACCTCCTAGGATATATAGCTGGTACCAACAATTCTGGGCTCTGAAATTGAGAGCTTTTTTTTTTTAAATATTTATTTTAGTTTTCGGTGGACACAACATCTTTGTTGGTATGTGGTGCTGAGGATCGAACCCGGGCCGCACGCATGCCAGGCGAGCGCGCTACCGCTTGAGCCACATCCCCAGCCCCAAATTGAGAGCTTTTGAGAGAGGAGAAAAGTCCTCTAGGCATTTCCCATTTCTGTAGGTAATCTTGACACATCTCGTATCCACTCAATGTTAAGGCCTAGAAATACTTTCAAAGTAATTTGTAGCCACATACACTGTACCTAGCACAGTACTGCTGACAAAAGTGTTGATACTGCTTGATTATTAATTTCATGTGTGTTTTAATGCTGAAGAACAACAGAAAAGGAACTGGTGAGATGAGTTGGGGAGGATCTTGAAGGAAGGAGGGTTTGGCAGTGAGGAGGGCTGCTCCCTGGAGAGAAGCAATTTGTCTGTAGCTGGGTGTAAAAGGCAGTTCTATAGAAGATGGCAGCCTGTTTTTGCCCTGCCTTGCCAGGTGATCTGACACCTCCTCTCCTTTCAACTTAGGCAAGTCTCCTGGCTTGTGAAGGCCTAGCAGGTGTGAGTTTGGTTCCCACTGCAGCCAGCAAGAAGATGATGCTGAGCCAGATTGCCAGCAAGCAGGCCGAGAATGGCGAGCGGGCAGGTAGCCCTGATGTGCTGAGGTGCTCGAGTCAGGTACAGCACTTGAGTCCACTGTGGTGCTTGGGGTTCGGGTGGCCCAAGCTTTGTGCCAGGAGACATCAAGCTTTGATTCCTCAGCGCTTCTGTTTAGGAAAGTGGGAAAAGGGAGTACAGCTGGGGAATGAATGAATATAGATATTTTAGAGAATTGAGGAAGGTCTTTTTATACAACAACCCCTTGAGACCAAGGTACATGGAGAGAAACAGAAGAGTACTTTTTCTAAGCCTTTGGAGCAGGTAGTTACCTGTCACTTAAAAATTGTCAGAAAGTAGTATCTGGTCTCTTATATTGTGTTCTGAGATGGACTGTGAGTTTAGGTTTGATTTGTCTTCAAAGGGCCACCGAAAAGACAGTGATAAGTCCCGGAACCGGAAAGATGATGACAGCTTGGCTGAGGCTTCTCACTCAAAAAAGACTGTTAAAAAGGCAGGTAATGGGGTAATCCCCCAAACCAGTACAGTTTAGTAATGGGGTAATCTTTTCTTTCCACTGTGATTCTCCCTGGAACTTTCCCTAAATGCTTTCATCCTTCATAGCCAGTGTGTATCCCTTGATTTCATCCAGAGTCCACTTTAGTAGTTAATACCTACCCTTGCTGAAACATCTTTGGTACAGGTCAGGGAACATGATTTATACTGTTCCCTAGGGCAGGGACAGACTAACTCCAGCTCAGGTCATGCTCAGACTGTTGAGTGTAACAAGACAGGCATCTTACCCACTCCACCTCCTTTCCCAGAGGAACTCTTAACCCTGAGGAATGTGGGAGATGTTGGCATCTTTAGATATCATTAGAGAGGTTCTTCATCCAGCAGCTGAAAATGGACCCAGAGTAGAATGGTCTCTAGGAAGAGGGCAGAGGAATAGCCTCATGACATGCCTGATTGTTGCCCCCAGGTGGTGGTAGTGGAACAAAACGGTTCTTTTCAAGTAAAGATTCCAAAAAATTTTATTTGTGAACACTGCTTTGGAGCCTTTAGGAGCAGTTACCACCTCAAGAGGCACATCCTTATTCATACTGGTAAGTCTCTTGTTTATATTCACAGGGGGAGAATAGTCTATAACTTTTGTTCTGTGAAGAGATATACTTGTTTAGTTGGGTTTACCTTCCAGGGGAAGCATTAGAAATGGAGGAAATGGATAAGTAAATGAGGTATAAAGAGTGCATAGCTCTGTTTCTGGTGTCACTGAGACCAGCAGTTTTGGGGATCTCTCCACTATGTTATAGCTTAGATGACTAAGAAGATAGCTGGAACCATGTCCCTACCACATACACCTCTTGACATTCACTTCTGTCTCCACCTGGGTTAGGTGAGAAACCATTTGAGTGTGATATATGTGATATGCGATTCATTCAGAAGTACCACCTGGAACGCCACAAGCGTGTACACAGTGGTGAAAAGCCTTACCAGTGTGAACGGTGTCATCAGGTAAGGCTCACACATCATCCAGCCCCATTACGGCCCCATAAACTTCCTTACCCAAGAACCAGGGCCATGCCCACTCCTGCCTAACAAAGGGGCCACCCAGTGTTCCTTGCCATAAAAGATGAACCTCAGGATGAGGTTCATCCCTCTGGCCTCATGCAGCTGCTTAGGGGGAAGGGTTAGAATATTAAAATAATAATAGCCTTTCTTGAGCACTTAATCTGTAGGTACTGTGAGAACATACTTTACATAGATATTTTTTGTTTGTTTTTTAGTAAATCTTCACATTAACTCCATAAAGTAGCTGTGTCGTCCTCATTTCAATTATGGGGAAATTGAGATTCAGAGAAGTTAAGTTTTCCAGGGACACAGCAGATCAAGGGCAGAGCCTGGATTCAGTCCGACTTGAGAGCTCCTGCACTTTGGAGGAAGAGATGTAATCTTTGCCCTGAGGTCAGCATCTGATCTGATGAGAATGTCAATGCCAGGACCAAAACAAGACAAGAACAAGAGATGAGAATGATAGTAGTAACACTTCCTGGATGCTTTGCTAGGTCTCGAGCTTTGTTCTGTACTCTTACATGGAATCTTCCGAATGCTAGAGTGAAAGTCCCATGAGGGCAGTGACTGTCCTTCTTACTCTCTACCCTGTCCTCAGCCCCAAGAACTGTACCTGCCTTGAGATAGATGCTCAGTAATATTTGATAAACAAAGCAGCTATGGTGTGATTAGGAACACTTAGCCTCATCTTACAGATAGAAGAGTATGCAGATGCAGGGCTGTGAAATAACTTGCCAGGGTCACACAGCTCCTAAGTGGTAGAGTCAGGATTCGGTGCCAGGGGCTCTGGCTCCAACAACTGCTTTCTTAACCACTGTGCTTGTGTCATCTGCACATGTTGAGAGGAAGTAGAATATGACATATGCCTTCTATGTGGTGAAGGAGCTTGTTAATGGGCCACTGAGTTTTTCCTCCCTTTTTTCTCAGTGTTTTTCTCGGACAGATCGATTACTCAGACACAAACGGATGTGCCAAGGGTGCCAGTCGAAGACTTCTGATGGGCAGTTTTCTCTTTAGGCGCAAGGGGTCCTGGGTGGTGGGAGTGATCAGAAGAATCTACAGAAGAGTGCACACCCTTTCTGGTCTGATGGTCCCACCACCACCCCATCTGAATCTGTCCCCCTCCTGGAGGAGTGGACCCAGGAGACCAGAAGAATGCATCGGGACAGTGGCTTCAGAGCCTCAGCTCTGTAAATAATCTGAGACTATGAGTATCTCGGGGAAGTTCCTACAGCATTCCTGGGTAGGGGAGCTAGTCCCTGGACCCTTGACTGAGGTCATAAGTGAGGACTCAAGGTACAGGACCAAGACTGAAGTGTGGCTCCCACAACCTTGGACTCCAGCTGGCAGCTGAAATGGAAAAGATTGGGAAAGGGGATTTGTTTGTTGTGTTCTTATTTTTGTTTATCCAAAAGCAATTTCAGCAGGTAAACTATGGACACAGGTAATCTGGAGGCTTAAAGTCCTGATCCAGAAGCAAGGACTGTGGCTAGTCCAGCCCTATCCCAAGATTGAGTTATAGTGGATCCTGAACGTTCCACAGTCCTGCACCTCACCTCCTATTTGAAGGAGAATAGGATCAGGGATGGCAGCTGAGCTTACTTTGACTTTCTTATACACTGTAGGGACAAAAATGAAGACAGTGGGAGGAGCAGACAAGGGCTGGGTCCAGGAAGAGTGAAGAGTACTGCTTACCTCCTCAAGAGCAAGAATGTGCCCATGGGTGTTGTAATGGCCCATGTTGCACCATTCGTGATGGGATCAGCTCAAGTGCCTTCTGGAGGAAACTTGGGTGACAGTGGTCCATGAGAAGCCCTTTCCTTCTCTCTGGGCAATTGGTCTTGTATATGGTTTATGGCTACCTCACTGTCATTGACTCCTAAAGCCAGACAGAGGTGTTGAGCAGGGAGTCAAGGATGTTAAAGTGGGTTCTCTTCTTGTGTCCTCTAAGGAAAACCCAAGACTAGTCCCAAATTGGCTAACAGTACTTAGAGAAACAGGAATTGGAGCCCTGACATGACTGTTGTGCAGGAGGAGCAGTTATCCCTGCCCAAGTCCTGTATTCGGGTAGAGGAGATAGGAGCCTGGCCTTGTGTCCCAAAGAACAAGAATTTGGCTCCCTTCTTGATGGCCATTCCTACCCAACAAAGATGGGGAGAGAGGGATGCTGCAGAGGAAGGACTGCAGGAAGAAACCTAATTAGGTTTCATTCTTAACCATACTTCTTGCTCCTTTCTGCTCCACCATTCTTCACCTTCAAGAAAGTGATCAGATGAGTGTGTGGTATGTGAGTGCTCACGTTTGTGTGCTTGGAGAAGATGGCATATTGTTGAGCCAAACCCTTCTATCACCCTCAACTTAGAGGAGGATGTGCATAAAATAGCCTCCTGCCCAGAACTGAAGGGTGCTGGGGTCCCAGCAGGAGCTGAGGAACTCTTACTTGGGGAACAAAAAGGCTTTTGTTCCAGAGGAGGTTTTTTAGACTGATTCAACAGGATGGTGGTTAGGATGTTTCTAACCCAAGCCAGGGCTTGTAAACATGAATTTTCTAAGGTGAAATAAAAACAAACAAAACTCTCCTTATGCTAACAAAAGGATCCTTATGGAAGGTTCTGGGATTTGACTCCATATGGCCTTCATTGACCTTTGGAGGTAGGGCACTGTCAGGTGTAATCATTGAAAACAAGGTGAACTAGAGCACCAAGCTGTCGGTGGGGACCTAGGATGAAACTTTCAGGAAGTATGGTTTCATTGCCCAGAAAATTCTTGTAGGGAATAAACAATGGCAGCAATCTTCAAGAGGGTTGGGGACAGGGGTCCTCCATTTCCCTGAGGTAGGGGTATTTCAGGGAAAAAAGACGTGGCACCCCTTAGCTTTTGGAGGACAGCATCTGAGGTTTTGAGGAGAAATGTTTCCCACCATGTGTTGCCCTAGCTTTATGCTGACACTCCCATTTGACCTAAATCTTGGTCCTCAGACCCTTGCCGTGGTCCCTGCAAGGAAAGGGCCAGCCCCCTACCTATTACAGGGCTTTGCTGTAGCTGGGATTTTTCTATTAAATTTAACTCTGGGAAGGAAGATACCTTGAGAAAGCTGTCCTTTTGAAAGTGGGAACTCGCTCCCTGCCACTTGGAGCTGATCTGTTTGAAATGTAGAGAGAATCACATGAGTGATGTGTGCTTCTTTATGTTCAAATGCTTGTGCTAGTCAGAATGTCCCTTGACACACCTCAGATCTGGCCACCTGCCTTGGTAGGTGGAAGTAAGAGAATTTCTGAGCAGTGCAGATGGCCATACCAGAACCATTCCTGCTGAGGGTTGGGAATGGTGATTAGTCCAGTTCACGTGCTGATGTGGGGCAATTGATGTGTGAAGAGATGAGCAAAGGGATGAAAGGAGTGAGCACCCACAGGCACAGGAGCCCTGCTTCTACCCCAGGGAATCCATAGAATTGGGACTGCTGCAAAGGCTCCTGGGCCCAATACCCCACCCCTCCTCTGCAGGGGCGGGGCTAAGCACTGGAAAGATGCCTCAGGTGTGTTTGGAGTGAGGGGAAATGGAGATAGGGCAGGCTCTCAGAGACCAGGATATGGAGTTGGAGGGCCTAGGAAAGAGTAGTGCCAGTTCCTGGGTAAGCTCCTGCACCAGGCCATATCAGCCCTGCCCTTCTCATCTTTTCCGTCCAACCCCAGCAGCCTCTTTTCATCACTTAGCTACTGATTGTGCCCCACAGCTTGACATTGGAGGGTTAAAGGAGTGGAGTCCCAACACAACTTTTAGCCCTCTTCCCAGATGCTCTTTGCCTCTACTGTGGCCCTAGGGCTTTTATCTTCAACAATCCCCCTCCTATCTTTCCTCTCCACTTTTTTTTTTTAATATACTTATTTTGCTATGGGGGTGGGGACTATCAAATGAACAAGATCACTTTTAAATGGTAGTTTTTATAAGATGTTATAAACTTGTATCTTTTTACCATTAAAGTGCAGTGTATGTTCCTTCGTGATATATTTCGGATATTTAAATAAAAATAGTGGGGCTTTTCTACATTTCATCTCCTCTTTGGGAAGACTGTCTTTTGGGGAAACCTTTTTTTCCTGCAGAGAAGCAAAGAGTAGAAGCAAAAACTGCATGTGTTCTGACAGCAGGACAGAATGTCAGACACCAGTAGAAGCAGTGTCCCAGTGTGATTGTTTCCTTATTTGTGATCATCAGTTACCTGAGAATCCAGGCCCCTCTGGCCCAGGGAGGTGGAGCCAATTGTTTCCAAGCTACTTCCTGCCCTCAAGTGGCCAGAGGAGAAATGGACTTTAGCTTTTGTAGGCTTGGGCTGAACAGCCTATTTTGGCCTTGGTGGGCTGAAGCAAAGTGACAGTTACAGTCTGAGGTAAGACTTTATTGTATACTTAGGTTGGGTATGGTTGCTTTTTTTGAGGTGGAAAACAAAGTCACAGCAGTAGGAGCAGCCCTCTGAGTATCACTCTGAAAATGAAGTTGGGTGGCGACCACTCCTCACCAGCGGATTAGTTCCTTAGATTGCTGCCTGATAGCTACCCCCTTCCCCAATTCCCACTGTTATCCTAGAGACAAGAGCCCTGGGTGAGACTCCTTCCCCCTCAGAGAATGGGACCATCAGCCCCTTCGAAGCGGGGATTGATAGTAGTTGTGATGGCACTTTTGTAGAGAGGATTGTTGTCCTGTGGGAAAAGGTTGCAAATTATGAGGGGAAAATCTTAGGATTCCTCTTCCCATTTACCTAGTCCTAAGAGCCCAACCTAGAACTAGCGCAAGATCATAGGAGCTGAAGGAAGACAGCAGAGGGATTGGTTAAGTCTGCAGAGGATGCTCCTAGATGAGAATTGAGGGCTGGTTGTGTGGTGGAGAAGCTGACAGCAAGAAAGGGACCCAGCCAGTGGAATAAGAGGCTGTCTCCTCACCTCCTTCCAGTTGAGTTGCTGCCGCTCCTTCTCAAAGCGACTATATTCCCGACGGTCATAGATTTCCACTGAAAGCCGATAAGCCAGGACCAGCCCCAGTCCCACTGCCACGATGCCCCCTACACAGCCCAGCACAATGGTCTGAGTTTGGTCTGCTCCCTCTGTGAGGAAAGAAACAATACAGACTTCTGAGGGATAAGGCACAGGGACAGATCAGCAGTTGCCCACAATGAGTCCTGCCTCCGAAACTCTGTCACTGAAAGCAAAAGGAATCCAGAAGTGTCCAAGTTTATCCTCTCTGCCTGAGACCTTAGACTTATCACTTTTTTCTGCCTTTGCACTATATTTATTTACAGCTCTGCATCAAATCCAGCCTGGTTTCCCATTATTATCATATCACATGCCCAGCTCTGAGACCCTGCACATCAAATTTCCAGATCTATTTAGCATGTCCATGGCCTCTCTACCCACTTACTCTCTTGGGGTTTCACTCTAAGCGTCACTTTGCCTCCAGCTTCATCCTCCACCAGGAAGAAGAACAGCTGGTTGTCTAGTGTCCTTTCTTTGCACCAGCCATCATCCAAGATAGGGGTCAAAGCCAGAGTCACGTTGGCATGGGCACAAGCCATGCTGCAGTTGGCAGCCAGGGGGCCTGTCCCAAAGGCCCCACACTCTGCACAGTCCCTGTGGATACCAATAAGTTAGCAGCTGAGCACTTGTTACTTACCAGCTCTCACCTACACCCCGCGCAGGAAGAGCAGGCAAGTGTGAGTGCTAAGCAAACCCACTGTGTCCCTGTTCTCAGGATGCAAGAACTGAAGCCTCACCTGTATCTCTCACATGGTGTCTTGCAGCCTGGGCACTGGTCACACAGAGCACCATAGTAGCCATCCAAGCACTGGCAGCGATTGCATTTGCAGTGTCCATGCCCACTGCAGAGCTCTCCCTCAGGACTGACACAACTGTCCATGTCCCCACTGCACTCACATGCTCTGCCCGTGCGATTGGCATGACAGTGACATACTCCACATTGGCAGCGGCCAAAGCCTGGGGTAGAGCCATGCACAGGGCGATAACCATCCTCGCACACAAATGGTTATCACACACCACCACATGCACTCATTTCCTCTCAAGTGTGCCTGACACATCCTCCAATTCATACACCAGAATATTTGGCACTTGCCTTCAGTGCCATAAGACTCCCAGAGTCTAAGTGTTCTTGGGAGGGCCCCTTTGACCCCACCCTCTGCCAAAATCTCCAGGTACCTCCACAAAGGATGCCCTCATGTCGCTCACAGCTGGCATCATCACACTCGCACAGACGCCCAGAACTCTGTCCACTACAGCTGCATCGTCCACATTGGCACCGACCCTTCCCACTGCATAGGGGTCCTGTCCCATTGGGGGCCCGGCACCCAGATTCCAGATCCGGGGAGAACAGCTCAGCCTCAGAACACTCACAGAGTCGACCCAGGCGGCCAGAGGCACAGCTGGAAGGGGAAGTCAAGAAGGGAGAGTTGGACCATTCCTGACTTTTTTCCTAGGATCCTCTAAACCCAAGTCCTTAAAAGTTGGAGAGAGATACCAGGGTACAGTGGAGCACCAAGCATGGAAGGAGGGAAGAATGGAGGGGTTCTGTTGAGGGGAGAAAGCACAGACACATGGCATTCAGTGGAGCTTTGGGATGTTCAGGAGATCCCAGTGGGAGAGAAGGAAGCAAAGAGGAACACGAGGAGTGGTCACTTGTAGGAACCAGATGGGTAAAGGGACCAAGAGACTCACCTGCATATTCCACACTGAAGGTCTCCCTGGCCATCGCTGCAGTGGGGAGCCTGGGGCTGGGTATCACTGCAGTTACAGTCACACAGCGTGTGCAGCTCCATAGTCAGCTCCTCAGAGAAGCCAAGTGCTCGGAGCCTCAGGAACTGGGGCTCTGGGAGGCAGTTATTAGCTTGGAGGGTAACCCAGAAATTCACCTGAGGACAGGGCAGGCAGGAACCAGACTGTTATACACACATGCATGTGTGTACACACACACCTCAAGCCCGCCAATCATGCAGGACTCTATTCCTTAGTAAATTAAAGGACGGGATCATGCTAACACTATCTCCTAGAAACTCACTTGGGGAAGCCACTCACTGAACCCCCCTCAGAAAGGACAGGTGGAAGACTACCTTGGTTTTGCCTGTCCTGGCCGGCTCTTACCATCTGGTTAATTCGGACATTGTTGCACTGTCCACGGTCCCCAGCCTCAACTTCACTCTTCTCAGAACCTCCACACTGGGATTCATAAGAGATATTGACCCCAGGAGGGAGTGAAAAGTGTTCCAGGGTCACAGTGGATGACAGGCTCTATGGGAAGAGAGGAAGCGAGCAACCAGATGAAGGCAGGAATCCCAGCCTCTGCCCTCTCTGGCCATACCCAGTTGTATCAGAACCCTGCCCTCTGCCACCCTGGGGCTCCTTCCCTTCTGCCCCAAAAGGAGACCTTTCTGGAGGAAGGAGCTATGAGAACCCTAAGTAAACTATCCAGGATCCAGAGATCCCTACCACAGTATGGCAACCACAGGGGCTGGCCAAGTGCCATGAACATGCAGTGACCCTGTTTGTCCAAAGCAGGACACATAACCAGTGTGCATGTGAGACTGAGTTTGTCCTGAGAAATCTGACACTATCTCAAAAATTTTCTCACCATGGTTTAAGACATAGTCCCTTTCATCAAGAGGCTGACAATCTAGATGTAGAGCTACAACCTAAGCTGAAAAGACACTTAAGACTTTCAGTGGGGCCTGGGGTTATGGCTCAGTGGTAGAGCATGTGTCTAGCATATGTGAGGCACTGGGTTCAATCCCCAGCACTACATAAAAATAAATAAATAAAATAAAGGTAATGTGTCCATCCACAACTAAAAATAAATTTTAAAAAATATCTTTCAATGGTTCCTTCTACCTGCAAAAGTTTATGATTCTTTTCTAAAATATTTTTAGTTGTAGATGGACACAATAACATTATTTGTTTATTTTTTTATGTGGTGCTAAGAATCAAACCCAGTTCCTAACATGTGCTAGGCAAACGCTCTATCACTGAGCTACAACCCCAGACCAAAAAGTCTGGTTCTAAATTGTTTATTTTTTAATTTTGTTTATTAAATTTATTTGTTAGTGCTATGGATTGAACCTAGGAGTATTTTATCACTACAGCCCCAGCCCTTTTTATTTTTGAGAAGAGGTTTCATTAACTTGCTGAGGCTGGGGTTTAACTTGTGATCCTTCTGCTTCAGTCTCTCCTGTAGCTTGGATTACAGATGTGCACTACCACATCCAGCTGTCTGAATTGTTTATGAACAGTGAACACAGGCTCTCATCTTACATTCTGTATGTATAGCCCTTTCATTGTTATCCATGTGAACTTGGGCAAGGCACTTAGCCTCTGTTTCCTCATCTGTAAAATAGTCAGAAAGCAGGTGGGGTTAAACTAGGTGGCAAACAGTATGTGCACTAGGACAGACTTGGCATGAAATAAAAATTCAGGGAATGTGACTGTCCTTCCTTGCCCAGAGTAGGGCTCAGCTTTTCAGGAGCTTGGGACGGGATCTCAAGGCCATTTCAGACACTTAAGATTTGTGAATGTGGGCTGGGGTTGTGGCTCAGTGGTAGAGCACTCGCCTAGCACATGCGAAGCCCTGGGTTTGATCCTCAGCACCACATAAAATGAATAAATAAAATAAAAGTATTGTGTCCAACTACAACTAAAAAATAAATATCAAAAAAAGATTTGTGAATGTGAGAGTGAGTGACAATGACAGCCATGTGTAAACTGTAGATAAGAGCTATAGAATGTTAGAACTAAAAAATGAGCATGGCCACTTAGTTCTGCCACTGCACCTTGAGAACTCCTTTCCATCTTTCCCTTGTGCCCACCCTCGACATTCTCCCTCCCACCCTGGTGCTCACATCATAAGCATCCATGATGAGCTGCACCACATTGCTGGAGTCCTCACTCAGCTCGCCCACTGCAGACTTGGGAATCAGCTGACTCAGCTCCTGAGTTAGGAGGATTTGAAGAAAATGGTTGGACACAGCTTTAAGAAAATGGGCTCCTAGAGGTCTGAAAGGAGGCATATGGGGAACCGAGAATGGGTCTTTGGGAGAATTGAAAAAGATTAGGGTAGGGATGGGTGGTCTGCATTCAGACAACTCTCACCTGGTAGATGGGCAGTGTCGCACTGGTGACAGCAAAGATGGGCTGTATGTTTGCTGCAGAAAGGGCCTGAGCTACCTGACCCACAGAAGGGTAGTCCTGGGACAGGAAGTAGGGACAAGGTGAGCACCACAGGTCTCCCACAAAACATGCTAGGTACCCTCATCCCAAGGAATCCAGGACCTAGGGTGCCACCAACTAAAGGAGCTTGGAGGCTTGGCAAGGCAGGAAGGAAGGAAGGAGTAAAGGGCACAGGTTTCCTATCTGAGCAGTTGGGCTGGAGAGGAGGAATTCCCTGCTGGGGAAGACCGCAAGGTATCTATAGGATGGTCACCAGCAAAGAAGAATGTGAGGTGGGGTGGCGATGAAGGTACCTGGAAAGAGAGGAGTTGTGGCTCAGGTAGAGAGGTTAGAGGGTACTCACAAATTCTGGGCTGCGACTGTAGAGGCCATTGCTGTCCAAGTGGCAGTGTCCATCACTGGGCATGAAAATTCCACCTAACTTTCCATCCCCAGCTGTGTGAAATGTGTCATCTGAAGTGAACACCAAGAGCCGGGACACATTTCTCCAGCCAATCTGCTCCTAGGATGTGGGAGGGAGGGGGCTATGCACCTGGGTATGGCCCTCAGCCACCCTAGCCAGTCCTGTGAGCCAAGGATATGGCCTGCCTCCCTCTGCATCTGATGTCCACCTTCCTGCCTCCAGTTCCCTGCTTCTCCCTTCATCCCAGCTCCCCAAACAGGGCTACTGCTAGTGGAGGCCTTTCTGTGTATTAGAAAAAAATGTGCCTCTTCCTCAAGATATTTTACCAAGTAATTTTACTAGGTTATTGTAAAAATAAATATACAGCCAGAAATGGTGGCACATGCCTGTAATCCCAGCTACTTGGGAGGCTGAGGCAGGAGGATCACAAGTTCAAGGCCAGCCTCAGCAATTTAGCAAGATCCTGTCTCAAAAACCAAAATAAAAAGGACTGGAGATGTAGTTCAGCAGTAGAGCATCTCTGGGTTCAACCCCCAGTTCTGCAAATATAAATAAGCAAACTACAATGACAATATAAATGGCACCCCCTGAGGGGACTGGGGATGTGGTTCAAGCAGTAGCGCGCTCGCCTGGCATGCGTGCGGCCCGGGTTCGATCCTCAGCCCCACATACAAAGATGTTGTGTCCACCGAAAACTAAAAAATAAAATATTAAAATTCTCTCTCTCTCTCTCTCTCTCTCAAAAAAAAATAAATAAAATAAATGGTACCCCCTTAAGTTGTGCACTACACAACCATTGGGGTATATTGGGGGGTGTAGTTCAGTGGTAGAGTGCTTGCCTAGAACTAGCAAGGTTCTGAGTTCCACCCCCAACACCATAACAACAAAAACTAACCACAGAAGGCAGCCTGGCCCAAGCAGTCCTTCAAGACTCAGACCTGGTCCCACTTTCTCACCTGGCAGAGGGCAGCCTGAAGAATGGCATCAAAGCCACCTTCAGGTGAGTCCAGGTTGCCAGACACATTCTGTCTCCCCACCTCCCGCTCAAAGGCTTGAGCATCCCCTGTCAGGGACAGCACATGGTGAAAACTGAAAGGTGGCTGGCAGCGCTCCATTCGGCTGGGGCAGGGGTGGCGCAGCTTGGAGGGCACAGTGCTCACAAAGGGAAGCACTGTTTTGTCCACAAAGGAGCCGAAACCTGGGAGGCAGTAAACACAAAGGCTGAGGGAGGTCACTGGGAATCACTGGAAGAGGTCACTGCTGAGAACTCAGAAGGGAGCGAAAAGAAGGGATGGTCCTAGAAGACATGATGGGCCGATGCTCCTAGGAGGGAGGACTTCACCCTGGCAAGGGTGAAGGGGTGGGACCATTACCTCAGGGAAGCACAGGAAACTAAGAGGGGGACAAAACAGGGGCAGACTGAGTCTTCCTGAAGGCTGAGGAAGGTCAGGAAGGAGGGTGTAGAAGCGCAGGAAGCAGAGGGGCTCTTGAACAAAGAATGTGGAGCTGAAACAGTGACATCTAAGCCTTATCCAAGAGTTACTGGTCTGAGACAGTGACATCAGAACAGTGACTGGGTTGGTAAATCCAGGGCAGCTGTCTGAACAGTCTCCAGACTCTGGGATTCGGTCAGCCCTCCTGTGAAGTGAGGGGTTCTAGTGAGAAGTCAACCTTAAGTCCCCTCCAGCTCTGACCTAGAAGATAGGTGTCTCAGTACAGATGTCAGGATCCTGTGGCCTGGCTAGGTTTGTTAAACACTTGAAGAGGGCAGGTGATGGCCCTTCTGAATCCAGGACTTTGGCAGAGACTAGAGTGGTAGTTGAAGCTGGACGCAAAGGCAAGGGCTGGCAGGGTGGAGGCCGGCCACTGGCTCACCTATGCGGACCGAATGGGTGACCTCCTGCAGCCGGACCAGCAGGGCGTGCCCGAGTTGGCGCACGCGTTCCAGGTCGTCCTTCATCGAGTAGCTCAAGTCCATGAGATAGTACAGGTCCACCGGATAACCCGCGGCCCGGAGGAAGCGGACCCGAAGTCGCTGGGGCTCCCCTGGGCAGGAGAAGAAGGGGCGCAGGTCAGCCGAACGCACTCGAACCCGAGCCCAGTTAGGTGCCTCGGCCGCGCCGCCCGGACTCACCCGGCCGCAGCACGACCCGGACCCGCTGCGGCGCCAGCTGGGTGGCCCCCTCGCCGCGGTTGCCCTGGCTGAGCGGCTTGTCCTGTAGCACCTCCTGCCGGCCACGGGGCTCCTCCAGCTCCTCCGGCGGGCAGCCCCGAGCCAGCAGCTCCTCTCGCCGAGCACAGCGTCGCGACTCAGCCTCGCCCGAGGCGGTGAAGTTCTGTGTCACAAGGAAGGCTTTGGGGACCCTGAAGGGCCCCCAAAGGGCCGTAGGGCCTTTGAACCCCTCTCCCAGAACTACCCTACAAATCCGATCGCCTCTAGTCACTCGTCCACTCCGCTCTGTCAACTCCATGAGCCCTCCCCTCCTCAGACCCTCCACAGTTACCCTTGAACTGCGGCCCTTTCTTCTTTATCAGACCCACTTCCTATAGCAGTTCTCCCTCCCCTCCCCTTATCTGGACTCCCCCTTCCCCCAGTAACCAACCCCCCCCCCCCAGAGCCACAGACTTCCTGTTGAGATCTCAGGGACTTTGCTACCATACAAAAAAGGACCTCCTAGTTCAATGTCCCTGCATGCTTAGATCAAAATGGAAAGGGGGTCAGGCTAAGACCCACAGTTTTGGGAAGGAGGAGGATAGGCACAGAAGAAGAGATATCCTTCCTCCAGTGTATCTGGTACCCCTGCACCAGCTGGGCAGCCGCAGGGGAAGGAAATGGTTAGGGCGGCTTCTCAGCTGTCAGGGGTGTCAGGCCTGGGGGTTGGAGGAGGCAGACACAGACCCTGCTGTCCCAAGGGCCCCATCTCCACAGCCACAGCCTGGCACCTCTGCCTCTGCTCCCACAGACTCTGTCTGACTCTATGTCTACTCTTTCTGTCCTCCCATACTCATGTGCCTTTCGCCTGGGCCCTCCACATCTGTAGCTAACTCCCATGATTTTCCTTCATCTTTTACCTAGGGCCTACACTGTTCTAACTCTCCATCTTCCTCTGAGAGACAGTTCTGCTCCTACCCCCACCTGGGGTCACCCTCAGTGCTCTCCTGTGAGTCCCCCACCTCTTTAAAATCCTGTTGAGATCTCAGGGACTTTGCTACCATACAAAAAGGACCATCTAGTTCAATATCCCTGCATGATTAGAACAAAATGGGAATTCTAAAGAACAGCTTTGTCCTCTGGGCCCATTGGCAGATGCCTGTAATCCCAGTGACACAGGAGGTTGAGGCAGAAAGATTGCAAGTTTAAGGCCAGCCTCGGCAATTTAGTGTGACCTTGTTTCAAAATAAGAAATAAAAAGGACTGGGGATGCAGCTCAGCAATAAAGTACCCCTGGGTTTAATCACAGGACCAAAAATCCTCCAAAGAACAGACTTGTTTGACCAGCAAGGAACACATACTTACTCCCCAGCATCCTCCTTGGCCGCTTAGGAAGCTCAAGCCTTCCTGTCCACTCTCTCCCCCTCACCCACCTCAAAACCTTTTGGAAGTCTTCCCATCCTCTTGCCCTGCCACACATCCCAGAACATAATAAACCCCACCCAGACTCAGATTCAGAAACTCAGGCCCAGATTTTCTGCTATGGACTGAACTCTTCCCCCACATTTTTGTGTTGAAGCCCTCATCCTCAATGCAATTGTATTTGCAGACCAGGCCTCTGGGAGATAGTTAGGTTTAGGTGAGGTCATGAGGGCAGTATCCTCATAGTGGAATTAGTGCCTTTATAAAAGAGACACCAGAGAACCCATTTCCTCTATCTTTCTACCAAGTCAGGTGAGGATATAACAAAAAGGTGGTCTCTCTGCGAACCAGGAAGAGTGCACTTGAATGAGAATCAAATCAACCAGCCTTTTGATTCTGAACTTCCCAGTCTCCCAAAATATAAGAAATAAATTCCTGTTGCTTAAGTCACCAAGTCTATGGTATTTTGTTATGTCAGCCAAATTGGCAATATGCTTTCTTATATGTGTGTGTGCACAGCAGGCCCTTCTACCTATACACAAGATGAAGTCCCACAAGCACATCTTCTTGAATGCATGGTCACAAGTCCTCTCTAAATAAACACAAATAAACATATTCAGACATAATTGTGCACAGAAAATGCACATGCATGTGGATGTACACTCACACCGTCTCACACAGAAGTTCTATGTGCATAAACTCAGTCACACATGAGACTTCAGGGTATAGCCAGTAAAATCACACATGTGCCCACACAATCACATACATATATCCAACCTGTACATACAATACACATGGTTCAAAGGCCACAGGCCTATCTTTACCAGTTGCTTGCACCATGCACAGCTAGGGTGTGAGAAGATGCACTTCTTGCAGGAGGGGGCTGGCTGGCAAGACCCTGGCAGAGACAGGTCAGGATCCCCCAATTTTGTGGCTTCCCTTGGGAATGGGCTCTTGATGTCCACTTCACTTTCACCTCTGCCCAGGGCCAGTAGGAAAACAAGAGCCACCGACAAAACCACCATGGCCTGTATTGGATGTAAAGTGGGAGACATGGGTCCTCAGAGAAGACTCCCAAGCTGTTAGTCCTCTAAACTTAGCTTGTGGGTTGCCACTCTCAAAACTATCCCAACTCTTCATCTCTCCTCATTGTTTCATATTTCCCTGTGGATTCAGCAGTGTCTTTAGACATCGCAAGAAGAAGTATATACAAGGCTAGGCTGGGGGCATCAGAGAAGACCTGTCCTTCTTGTGGGCAGAGGGGGACAAACAGGCCCACAAAAGAGTCTGGGAATGCGCCTAGGGGCACTGAGGACTGTACCCAGGTCTTTTCACCAAGATTTCAAACTATGGTGGAGATAAAAACTAATAATAAGCACACCAGTCTTGGTCACTCACTGGCTGTATGGCACGTCAGGCTTTCTCTCTGGGCCTCAGTTTCCACATCTGTAAAGTGAGAGAGTTCAATAAATAATCTGATAGCACTTGCAGAGTCCACAATTTTGAGTTCAAACAAGGGAAGAGGATTATTGAGTGGGAATGAGAAGAAAGAAGGCTGGAACAGATTAGGGAGGGTGAGAGAGAGGGAGAGCAGTTTCACTTGGTTGACATAGTAGCAAGAGGAATGAGTAGACCACAAGAACTTTCTGAAGGTCTGGGATAAAAGAGGAAGAATAGGTAAAGTGTTGATTAAAATTTTTTCTCTCTTTAGCCAGGCACAGTGGTGCACATCTATAATACCAGCGTCTTGGATAGATGAGACAAGAGGATCCCAAGTCCAAAGCCAGCTTCAGCAACTTAGTGAAGCCCTAAGCAACTTAGCCAGACCCTGTCTTAAAACAAAAAATAAAAAGGGCTAAGAATTCGTTCAGTAGTAAAGAGCACCTGGGTTCAATCCCCAATACCAAAAATAAATAACTAAAAACCAAAAAGGGCTGGGGTGTGGCTCACTGGTAAAGAGCTTCAGGGTTCAGTCTCCAGTACCAATAAAAAGGGGGAGGGAGCAGGGAGTGTCACCCCAGTGTTAGAGCTCTCACCTGATGGCAGAACACCTGCCTGATGGTAAAGCACTTGTATGAGGCTCTTGAGTTTGATCCTTAGTACCACATACACACAAATTTTTTTTTCTCTTTTCTGTGATTTGCACAAAGGGAATCTAGACTGGTGGAAAAGCCTGGTTGTAAGGTGATTCCTGGAAATTCCTGGAATGAACTCTAGGAAAACTAGGCAAATTTCTGTTTTAAAAAAACCTATTTGGGGGGCTGGGGATGTGGCTCAAGCGGTAGCGCGCTCGCCTGGCATGCGTGCGGCCCAGGTTCGATCCTCAGCACCACATACCAACAAAGATGTTGTGTCTGCTGAGAACTAAGAAAAAATAAATAAATGTTAAAATTCTCTCTCTCTCTCTCTCAAAAAATAAATAAATAAATAAATAAATAAATAAATAAATAAATAAATAAACCCATTTGGGGCTGGGTTTGGGGCTCAGTGGTAGAGCGCTTGCCTAAAGTGTGAGGCACTGGGTTGATTCTCAGCACCACATATAAACAAATAAATAAATAAAGGTCCATCAATAACTGATAAAATTAAAAAAAAAAAAAAAGCTATTTAAGCCAGACACAGTGGCACAGGCCTGTAATCCCAGAAGTTGGGGAGGCTGAAGCAGGAGGATCATGAGTTCAAAGCCAGCCTCAGCAATGGCTAGGCACTAAGCAACTCAGTGAGACTCAGTCTCTAAATAAAATACAAAATAGGGCTGGGGATGTGGCTCTGTGGTCGAGTGCCCCTGAGTTCAATCCCCACTACCAAAAGAAATAAAAAAATACCTATTTAAAAGATTGAAGGGTTGGGGCTAGGTTGTGCTCAGTGGTAGAGTGCTCACTTAGCATGCTTGAAGCACTGGGTTTGATCTTCAGCACCACATACATGTAAAATAAAGATATTGTGTCCACTTACAACTAAAAAAATAAATATAAAAAAATTGAAGTGTTGGGGGGTGTAAGTCAGTTGTAGAGCGTGTGATTACATGATTAGCATGCAGGAAGCCCTGGGTTCCATCTCCAAAAAAAAAAAAAAAAAGACAATTCATTACCATGTTCAAAAATCAAAAAGTTAAATCCATGGTGAGGGAAGAGGAGGGGAAAATGTGGGAAATGAGGATTTAAATCAAAGTCCTTGCATGTATGATTTTGCCAAAATAAATTCAACTACTATGTATAACTACAATGTTCTAATTTTTTAAAAAAGTTAAAATCCCATTGTACCTTCCTTCCCCCACGTGAAATGGGAATGCTAATCCTAAAATTCATATGGAATTTCATGGGACCCCAAATAGCCAAAACAATCTTGAAAAAGAAGAACAAACTAAAAGACTCACATTTCTCAATTTCAAAACTTATTTTAAAGCTACATTAATCAAGACAGTGTGGTTATGGCATAAAGACAGATATATAAACCAATAGAACAGAATCAAGAGTCCAGAAATAAGCCCACCCATCTATGAACGATTGATTTTTGACAAGGATTACAAATTATTCAATGGGAAAAGAATAGCCTTCAACAACTGGTGCTGGGATCACTGGATATTCACATAAAGAAGAATGAAGTTAGACCACTACCTCATACAAAAATTAAGAATATTTTTAAAAATAATAACATGTTGATAAGGATTTGGATCTTTGTATATTACTGGTAAGAATGTAAACGAACATAACCACAGTGGAAAACAGTTTCATTCCTCAACAAGTTAAACATAGAATTACCCTATGACCTGTCAATTCCATTCCTAGGTATATATCTGAAAGAACTGAAAATGGATGTGCAAAGAAAAACTTGAACATTGATATTCATAGCAGCATTATTCACAATAGGCAGGGAAAAAAACTCATTTGTACATCAATTAATGCATTGATAACCAAAAGGTGGTATATCCACATAATGGACTATTATTTTGCTATAAAAAAGCCAAAAAGGATGTGACATGTACAACATGAATGAATCTTGAAAATATTATGCTAAGTGAACCACTTATTGTATGAGTTCTTTAAATGAAATATGTAAATGAGGAAAATCTATCGAGACAGAAAGTAGATTAGTGGTTACCAGAGTCAGAAGAGAGGCAGGATGGGGAGTGACTGCTTAACTGAGCACAGTTTCTTCTGAGAGTGGTGAAAAAGTTTTGAAATTAATGGTGATGGTTACACAAGTTATACATTTAAAATAGTTAAATGATGAATCTATTTCTTTTTACACTACATAAATTTCCATTGCATGGGTACACCATAGTTAATTAATCCCTAGCAACAGACATTGAAATTGTTTTGGAGGCAGGGATGTGGTTCAGTGGTAGAGTACTTGCCTAGCATGTGTGAGGCCCTGGGTTCCATCCCCAGTACCACAAACACATACACATAAATTAATTAATTATTTATTCTTTTGGTAACTAGAATGAAACCCAGGGCCTCACACATGCTAGGCAAGTTCTCTACCCCTGGGCCACATCTCCAGCCCTAAATTAATTAATTAATTAAATAGTTTCTAATTGTTCACTATTACAAACAATGCTGCAAGGAAAAATCATGTACTTATCATTTCACATTTGTGCAAGTTAATCTGTAGGATAAATCCCTGGAAGAGGATGTACAGGTTTAATAGAAGAAGATGGGGGCTGGGGTTGTGGCTCAGTGGTAGAGCGCTTGCCTAGCATGTGTGAGGCACTGGGTTTGATTCTCAGCACCACATGTAAGTTAATAAAATTAAGTTCCATTGACAACCAAAAACTATTTAAAAAAATAGAAGAGGATGTACAGGTTCAATACAAATTCAATATGATTTGCAGTATTATATTGGTGAGTACTTGCCAATATTGATAAGTATAAATAAGTTCCCTGGGGGTTGGACCAGTTCACATTGCTTTCAGCAGCATATGAGAAAGGTCACCTAATGCCTTGCCATGAAGCATGTGCATCCTCCTTAGCCTGGGCCAATTCAGATCCAGATGCTCTGCAGGGAGTGTGGGGGAAGAATGGGGTGCTGAGGCCTTGAACACCCCCATCCTGCTCCTCACCCCAGAACCTCAGGTGGGTGCAATATATGATAGAGCCTCCACCCTCTGGGAGAGACCAGCCCAGGCTCAGCCTCAGTGTAACCTCAGCCCTGTTCACTGCATGTGCTGTGGTCAGAGAGGCTGAAGATGCTGCTGCACAAAGCCCAGCTTTGACTCATCTCACAGGTGTGGCCCTCACTGCCACACGTTCCCAGGATACGGCAAACCCAGAGGAGACCTCAAGCTCACTCATCTCTCTTAAATAGGAACCTGGACTCTAGTCACCCTCCCCTCCCTTTCCTCTCAATTGTTCCCCCTTCTCTGCTCCTTGAGAACCCATGCTCTTTGCTCTTCCTATTCAAAAATTCAATTACATCTCTCTATGGCTTTTCTTTGTTTCTTTATAGTTGTTTTACTTCCTTTTAGACTCTAATAGAAGACTCTTCTACATCAATCCCTTTATTTTGCAAAAGGAAACTATACCCCAGAAGGGTAAGCTAAGGTCACACAATGAACAGGAAGAAGAGCAGGGACAGAGACAGGCCTCTTGGCACTTCGTCTTGCTGTTTCCTCCCCTCCAACCCTGGCAGCAGCACCATCACAAATTGTCTTCTCCCTACTAGCCCCAGCAAGTCTGACCTAATCCCATTTCTCTTTTGCCTTGGATCTCCTTCAGTCTTCCCTTCTCTCCCTGGGACCACATGCTTGTCCCATTTTCCTGGACTTGATTCTGACTCCAATACACATCCCATTGCCCTGTTTGATGTGTGTTTTACTGTGTTATGATTCTGAATCTAAATAAAAGGGCCTTATGAATGCTAGACAGCACTCTACCACTGAGCTTCCTACCCCCACCCAGCCTATAAATTGGTCTTTTGACTATGCTTTGACTGCACTCACTACATTTTGAGTTTTCTCTTGTAATACAAGAAGTGACTACTGACAGTCGACCCTAACAACTGCTGACTGACAGCTATATTGATAACTGTGTGCCAATTTGCAAAGGAGATAGTTGACATCCAAGACCTTTCCTCCAAAAATTGACATCTAGAAGCTAAGTTAATACACCTTCTGGAACTCTGGAACTATAAATAACAATGCTTTCAGACTGCCATTTAAGACATATCTCACTATAACTTTACCCTTGGCATGGATTTGTTCTGAAAAAGCATGGGCCACAGGAGGCCCTGCCCGAGTGAACAGTGAATAGGCCCTGCCCTTTCTTTGATTTCACTGTTAGCAGCTTGACAGCATCTCAGGCCTGCATGAGTACCACCTTGAGGGGACCAGTTTCTGGGACCGTTTGGACAGTTTCTTCCATGGATGCATGGTGTTCAGTTCATTACTAGTAGTTTAAGTTGGCGTCATTTTCTTATAACTACTTTTGCCTACTTTTTCACAATATTCCTTTTCTTATTTTTGCTTTATCCTGTTTTGTATACCTTACAATAAAAAGACTTTCAGAAACTATCTTTGCTTCATGTGGTTTGACACTTGATTTAAAGATAAAAGAACCTGCCCCTCTTGGAGAAAACATAATCCTTGAGGTGAAATTGTCCCTTACTAGTACGAAGAAATTCCCTTACCTAAGTTCCTTAACTCTCCCTATGGCAGCTTTCTCATCTGTCAAGTGGGACTCTAGGATCATGGTGAGAATTAAATAATTCATATCAATTGCTTACAAGAGTACGTGGAACATAAAAAGTGTACGATATTGGGGAACCAGGCCACACTGAATGTTTCAATGAGAATGCCCTTTAGCAGCTGAGAAACAACCTCTTCCCAACCCATGCACACCGCCCAAGTCAAGGAGAGCCCCCTCTGCTGCCTGCTGCGAGTCTTGAGGTGGGAACAGAACTGAACTGCTGGGCCACCGTTTCCAAGGAGTGTGGAATTGGAGGCCAAGGTGCCAAATAGGAAGAAGCCAGAGCTGGGCCAAAGCATGAGGCAGCAGGGATGGCAGCTGGGGGAAATGTGGGGAGAAGCTACCCTGCCTGGTCTAGCCTTTGGCACATGGCAGACATTCAGGAACAGCACTCATACATCAACCCCCATCTAGCCCAATTCTTGGGGAAAATGATGAAAGAGGTGAGTGGTGATGCTAGAGGAGGGAACAGGGGCAAGGGATTCTTAGGGAATGTAGAAAGGAATTCACAGCTTTCTCAAGACTAGACAGAACCCTGAGTGTCCAGGTTAGAATTGTCTCGCTAAGCATTTGGGACCAGGTGGGCCTGGGCCTGTCAAGAGAGGAGATGGGGAAGGGGCTGTGCCCAAGTACTCACAGGTGCGTGCAGAGCAGCCTTCCTTTGATGGCAGCAGCAGCCTTTGTGTACTGATCTGGAGGCTGCAGAGGAGGAAGTGACACGCCCTGGGGTGGGGGAGTCTTAGGGATGGCTGATCTAGAAGAAGGTGGAGCAGACAGGGTTAGGGCTGGGCCAAGAGCATGAATGAGGCAGAGATCTGGAAAAAGAAAGCTCATCTATTGTCAGGTGCTGGACCACCAAGTTAGAGTTAATGATCACAGCAACCTCATTAGCTAGGTGTTAGTACCCCTACCCCACCCCACACACCAATCTTACAGATGCAGAGATTGAGGCCTGGAGGCAAGAAGTAAAGAACTTTGCTCAAGAGCAGGCAACTAGTAAGTGGTTGCCCAGCCTTCCTCCACAATTGATGATCTCTTCACTTCCTCATATGGGAAGGAATAAAATGGGAAGGACTATGGGGGCAGAAAGTACTGTAGAGAGGAGGAAGTTAGAGACTGTTGATCATTTTGAAAACCCAGGGACCACAGTATCTTAGTGAGCTTAACTCCATGGGCTCTGGAACCAAACTGTCCTGTTCTCCCTTACTAGTACGTAGAAATTCCCTTAGCTAAGTTCCTTAACCCTCCCTATGGCAGCTTTCTCATCTGTCAAGTGGGACTCTAGGATCATGGTGAGAATTAAATAATTCATATCAATTGCTTACAAGAGTACGTGGCACATAAAAAGTATACGATAAAGAATTACTAGGAGTAGGAACTGGGTTGTGGCTCAGTGGTACAGTGCTCGTCTCACATGTCAAAGCACTGGGTTCGAACCTCAGCACCACATAAAAATTAATAAAATAATGGTATTTTTAAAATTTAAAAAAAAAATCACTAGGAGTAAAAAGTAATGGAGGCAGGTGGAATGGCTTTGAGAAGTGCAAGGTTCAGACAGTTGGAAAGCTGGAGAGAGAGGCACGGAGCCAGGCTTGGAGAATGCAACGGAGGGCGGAGGAGCCAAGACAGTAGTAGAGACTGGGAAAGAGTGGAGAGAGGAGAGCAAAGAAGCAGAACACAGTAGTAACAGCAGCTGGAGGCCAAGCAGGATGAAGCCTGTAAGAATGGGCTGTGGAAAATATAAATAGGATTGGTCACTGGCCCACACTTGAACATAGGGAGCTTTGAGAGGAACCTGGACATTAGGTCTGTGTTCATAAGAGCTGTGCTCCATACCAGAAGAGGCACCCCTTGGCAGCAGGGACTGGCTCTTAGGATCCCTGCTGAAGCCACTAAACATAGCCAAGTGCCCATCTTCTAGCAGGTGCTCCATAATGTCAGGTGGATCCTAGGAGCATGGCAGGAGGAGGCAACTGGAGAAGAGGGGCTCCTTCTCTGGGTGGGCTCCTGCTAGCACCAAGCTATGGGTCAGCCAGGACCTTCTACCCTTCCCCCATAACCATGGGTTACCATGGCAATGAACCTCCTTACCCACAAGCCCTGTGGTTTCCTTTAAGTCTTCTTTCACTTTCCTCTTCTGCTTTTCCTCCACTCCTCTCTCCTCCCCCTTTCCCACATCCTCAACTCCTTTCCCACAGGCACAAGTCACCAGTGGAGAAAGCAAGGAACAAGGTAGGCAAAGCACTGTCCTGGGAAGAAGTGGGCACAGTAGGAGAGATACAAGGGAGTCACAGAGGCAAGAAGATAACAGGAAGGACAGACTAAAGGCCAAAAGCCTTTGAAAAAGAGGTGTTGTAGAGGTAAGGCCTATGGGGGGAGGAAGGGCTATAAGCAGAGAGGGTAACTGGGGCCGTGCAGTAAGTGGAGGTCATGGAGGAAAAGTTGGCTCAGGAGGGGTGGAGGATAGGGTGTCAGCCTGTCAGAGGGTGGGAGAGCTCACCGATGGGCTGGTGTCAAACAGAAACACTGCAGCTTCAAGGTGGGGTTATGGTTCTCTTCTGAGGCCAGAGACAACCATGCAAATGAACCAGAGAAGGGCAAATAGGCACTTTTAAATATATAAAGTGAGGCCCATAGAGATAAGTAAGAGCACAAGTGGGGGTTTTGGGAGGCCTGTGCCTCAGGGTGGACCCTGTAAAAGCCCTCCCCCGCCTCACCAGTCCTATCCAGCATACTTCATCCTATTTCTTTTGCACCCCTAAGATAGTCGCAAAGTCCAGCAGATTAGGAGTTCTCTCTCACCACTCTGCTATACCTCCAGGGAGCAACATCCCATGAGTTTCCATCACTTTATTTTGCAAAAATAGAAAACTCAGCAATATGCAATACAGCGGGGTAGAGGGGAGATGTAAACAGAGGGGAGGGGACAGCACCCTGACCCCCCCAGAGTAAAAGGAGAGCCAGCGGGAATCTTATTTGGCAGCTAAATACAAACTGGGGATTGGAGGAAGGGAGGGGTCACAGAGGCCCTGGGCTCCCCCTCCCAAGACCCCTGGAGGAAGGGGTCATACCAGGGTGTAAACAAAAGCTAATAAATAAATAGAGGCTTCCTCTGGGTCAGGGTGGGATCAGCTAAGCAGCATCTCCTCTCCCTGGGCCAAGCTGCTCTGGGGATCAAGGGTGGAAGGCACTAGGAGAGGGATCCCTGGCTCCTCTGTAGTGTAGGAGGGCCCCTGCCCGATGGCTGAGATGGGGGCAGGAGGAGCCCAAGGCACATGATGGGGCTGGAGGAGGGGCTTATAACGGAGGACATGGGGTAAACATTGCACCCCAGCAAAGAGGTGCAGAATAGACCTGCATCTGTCCCTTTCACCCTCGGGTCCTGTCCCAGAAATGCAGGGCCCAGCCTGCCCCCATCCTGACCTGACAAAAGGATGGGGCATCAGCGTGCACCAGCAGGTGCATCACACAGCATTAGGCACCAAGGATAGGGGCGAGAAGGATGGGCTCAGCCCCTCCCCCCATTGCCCTTCTTTTGGTCTCTAGTGTTCCTTTTTTGCTCCCAGAACCCAAGCACCTGGCAGAGGAAGGGGCTATGGTATGGCAGGGTCTTCCTCCTGCCCTGGAGAGCCTAGGACACTGGCATCTGAGGGGCAGTGCTGAGATTTTAGAGTCCAGACCCAGGCTCACCCCCTCCGTCCTCTCTCCTGGTTGGGAGCAGGGCAGCCCCCCAGGATTGGAGAGGGAGCCAGTTAGAGCGGAAAAGGGATGAACACAGAGGCACCCCTGGAAACTTTGGCAAAACAAGGAGCTCATTGGAAGGGTGGGGAGAGGGCAGAGCAGGTCCTCCCCCAGTCACTGGTGGTGTCTGGGAGATGGTCAGTCTGCTGCCTGGAGCCCAACCCCACAGAGGGGGAGGTCAGGGGCCCTGGTCAGGCTGGGGACTTTGGTCTCCTTTGCCCTGGCCCCTGGGAGTCTCATCCTCGCTGGAAGCCTTGGGCTGGGGACCAGGCTGCGAAGAATCGTCCTCAAACATTTCGGGGTTCTCCAGCATCTCTCGGATCAGTGGGGGCATCGGACCTGGAATCTCCATCTTCAGGGTAATGGCCCTTTCTGCTCCTACAGGGAGAAGCAAAGAGGCTCAGAGAGGTAGAAGTACATGGTGCTTGGGGCTGCCTCCTTAAACTTTCTCAACTGGCCCATGACTCTCCTTTGGGCATGCGCAGCCCGGTCTGGGAACTCCTACCTGGTCTTCTCTGCCATACCTACTGCCCATTTGTCTCATTCTTTCAGGATGTCTTCTTTTTCTCTTCCTTCTTTCTCTCTCTCTCTCTCTCTTTTTTTTTTTTTTGGCAGTACTGGAGATTAATCCCAAGGGCACACATCCCCAACTCTTTTTATTTTGGGACAGTTTCTGAGCCTGGCTTGGAATTTGTGATCCTCCTGCCTTAGCCTTTTGAGTTGCTGAGATTACAGGTTATGTAATGCTTTGACCCACTACAGAACTATATTTTTCTTTTCTTTACTTTTTTTGTACTGGGAGCTAATTTTTTTTTTTTTTGGTATGGGGATTGAACTCATTGAACTCAACCACTGAGCCACATCCCCAGCCCTATTTTGTATTTTATTTAGATACAGGATCTTACTGAATTGCTTAGTGCCTCACTGTTTCTGAGGCTGGCTTTGAACTCTCAATCCTCCTGCCTCAGTCTCCCGAGCCTCTGGGATTACATCCGGCTGTACTGGAAGCTATTGAACTGTATTTTCCTTTTCTTTCTTTCTTTTTTTTTCCCCTTGTTTTGTACTGGGGATAAACCCAGGGATACTTTACCACTGAACTACATTCCAATATATATATTTTTTAATTTAGTTCAAGTCAGAATCTTTCTAAGTTGCTGATGTTGACCTCAAACTTGTGATCCTCCTGCCTCAGCATCTGAAGTCAATGGGATTACAGGTGTGTGCCACTGTGCCCAGTTCAGTAGTGAATTTTTAGTTCACATTTTTAAACACATTGGGAACCAAATCATTTAGTCCTCACAGTTAGTTTATATAGTAAGCATAATCCAGTTTACAAACATCAAAACAAGGTACAAAAAGTAAAGGAGATGCTAGGGGTATAGCTCAGTGGTAAAACATTTGCCTAACATACACGAGACTGTGGGTTGATCCCCAGCACTGCAAAAACAAATTTTTAAAATTGCCTAAAGTCTTCTCACTAGGATGTATGTGGCCAAACTAAGACTCTAATGTAGGTCACCTGATTCTCAATCACTCTGTTCCTGTCTCTGCCTGTCCAGCTGTGTGACCTAGAAGACCTGCAGCTCTAGGAACACAGACAGGGAGGGCTCACTCATGACTAACCCTTGGTGCTGATGCCCCGGAGGTCGGTGATTTTCATAAGCATCCTTGGGAACATATAGGGCTGGCTGGGCCTCCGGCGCCGGGCATATAGCCTCAGGGCTTCCAGCAATGGCTCCTGCAGCTTGTCTACTTTTTCAGGTTCCTCCAGGTCCATGCGGTCTATGAGGACAAACACAATGGAGTGAGAGAGAAAGGAAGAGAGAATGAGTATAAAGTGATACATTTCTAATCCCCAATCAGTCCTGCCCTGCTGCTTCTAGGTCCCAAACTGTCCCATCAGTCTGTCTCCTGTTGTTCCTGAGCCCTACCAGGATCTCTCTCCTGCTCTAAGCCCTATGCCTTCTCCTGTTTAGCAAGGGGCTTTCTCTGATAAATCCATCCAGCCAGATCACTATCTCAACACCAGTATTTAGGGGCTCCTTAGCTCCCCCTGGCTCTTCCCCCTTTTTATGTCCTATGTTTGAGGCTGCTAGGAAGTTTTACAGGATCTAAGTCTGTGTCTGGGGCCAAGGACAACAATTCCAAAAGAAGAGACCACCAAGACCTCCCACCTGGCCAGAGATCAGGTGTGGAATATGGTGGGAAAGGAGCCTGAGCAGACGCCAGGGGGCGCCTCCGCACCTCCACAGATGAGGCAGATCGCGCTAAGCAGTCCTGTCTCGGTGTCATCCATCTCCAGTGGCAGGAGCTGCCCAGCAAAGGCAAAGACAAGGTCTGTGAGGGGCCCAAAGCCAGCGTTGTGCATTTGGGTCCGGTTCAGGGTCAGCCCATCAGAGAAGGTCATGGTGTCCTGCTCCGGGGTGTACCTTGTGCAGATTCGTAGCATCTGCAGGTGGGGGCAGAAGGAGAGTTAGTGCTGTAGCAAAAGTGGATGGGTGGGGGCGGGGGGGGGAGTTCATACAGGACAGGGAAAGAGGGAATGAATGGAAAATGAAGAAGTTAGATCCCCAAAAAATGCAACCTGAAACAGGCATGGGAAGGAAAGCAGAGAGGAGGAGGATCTGAGGGAGCCCCCCAGAAGGCAGGAGAAGGCAGAGCATCCAGAAATCTAGGAATAGGTCCTAGGGGCAGGGCCTAAGACAAAAAGAGCTTGGGTTGCCAGGTATGGTGACACATGTCTATAATTCCAGGGAATCAAGATACTGAGGCAGAAGGATCACAAGTTCAAGGCCAACAAGGCAATGTGGCAAGATCGTATCTCAAAATAAAAGTCTACTACTATAGTTCAGTAGTAGATTGCTTGTGTAGCATGTGCAAGGCCCCAAGTCAAGTAAAGGAAAGCGTGAGCTTGGGTAGAGGAGATATGGGGAGTCCCAAATGGTTTTGGGGGAGATAAAGTAATCTTTTTGAAGCAAGGAATCATTGAAAGTTACAAATGAGGGTCAGGCTAAGGCAAGAACCATAGGCCTAAATTACCAAGATGTCCAGGCAGGCAGCCTTGAGCAGAGTGATCTGGTCAGCAATGCTGAGTCCTGTAAAGCCAGGCAACCTCTTGGCAAACTCCACTATCTTAATGATGCACTTGGTGGCCAGCTCACTGAACTTGTCCCACAGTCCCAGATCCAGCTGCACCCGGTGGTCTGCACTGGAGTTCTGCGTGGGAAGAGAAGGTTAGGATGCAAAGGCTACCCTGAAAGTTCCCTTCTCTCTGCCAATACCCCAAGCTCTCTCCTCTGCTTACTGTAGCCCTCCTTGTCCCTAGTACCAAACCATGGCCTCCTACACATCCCTTAACCATTCCCAAAAGGCACAGTCCCTGCCCTCATTGGGGCTCTGCTCATTCCTCACCGTGGTGTACTTGCCCAGCTGGCAGAGCGAGGGGAAGGTCTCCTGATGGGCTTTGCTGACCTTGGTGATGAGCTCTTCTAACTGGGGGCTCAGCTCATAGCTGTCAGGAGACCCTTCTTCCTTGACCTCTTTCTTTTTCTTGTTCCGGTCATTCCGCACAGCTTAGGGGTGGAGGCACAAGGAGAGGGTCAGAACACTCAGGGACTCCTTTTAGATGTCCTCCCTCACCCTAACTTAATGTACTCAGTCCCTACCATGAATAGCTATTCGCTGGCACCCTAATTAGTGCCTCAGTTGCCCTATCTCATATGTTAGTTCCTATTCCCAGGCTGGCTCTCCCTAGCCCCACCCAGGGCCTGCAGCCCCTGCTCTCTCTCCAGGCCTTTCGGCTCCATCCTGCCCTTCCTGTCACCCTGCAGGAGCTGGGGAGGGGGGGCAGGATATGCAAGCGGCAGGATATCCACTTATAGCCTTGGCAGCACAATGGGGGGGGGATGGAAAGGAGGGGCCACCCCAGATCCA